GACCAAAAAAAAACAAAACTGTGTGTCTATGCATGTGTGTGTATGTGTGTATGTACATATGTATGTATACGTATACATGTTTGTTGTTATTATATTTGGTACCTGTCCTGGGATTTGAACCTAGGGCCTGTGCACTTTCCCTGAGCTTTTTATTTTATTTATTCATTCATTTATTTTAATCAGTTGTGGGGCTTAAACTCAGGGCCTGGGTGTTGTCTCTAAGTTCTTTTGCTCAACATTAATACTCTACCACTTTGAGCCACAGCACTACTTCCAGTTTTCTGGTGGTTAATTGGAGATAAGAGTCTTATAGACTATCCTGCCCAGGTTGGCTTTGAACTGTGATCCTCAAATCTCATCCTCTTGAGTTGCTAGAATTATAGGTGTGAACCACCAGCACCCAGCTTCCCTAAACTTTTTTTTCCCAAGGCTAGCCCTCTACCACTTGAGTCATAGCTCCACTTGCAGGGTTTTGCTTCTTTGTTTTGGTGTTTAATTGGAGATAAGAGTCTCATTTACTTTCCTGCCCTGGCTGGTTTTGAGCCACTATCCTCAGATCTCAGCTTCCTGCATAGCTATGATTATAGGCATGAACCATTAGTGCCCAGCTTTTATTTTTAAAATCCATGTAGCAGACTCTCTATTGAAGCATCCAGAGCATTCATCCTATTTTTTTTTGAGAGGTTGGAAGAGGAGGATGATAGAAGGTATTCTAATTCTTAGTCTCTTTGCCTCCATTAGTTTACTCTGTGAAAGAAAGATTCTCCTGAAGGTCCATAGCAAACAATGATTTTGATACCATAGTCCCTATACCTCCCAATTCTGTGTATGCATGTATGCACACTGCTACAGGGGCTTGGAACTCGGATCCTGGATGCTATCCTTTTAACATTTTCCCCAAGGTTGATGCTCTACTACTTGAGCCATATTTCCACTTCTAGCTTTTTGATAGTGAATTGGAGATAAGAGTTTCATGTGGGCTGGGAAGGTGGCTTAGTGGTAGAGTGCTTGTTTTGCATGCATGAGGCCCTGGGTTCGATTCCTCAGCACCACATAAGCAGAAAAAGCAGGAAGTGGTGCTGTGGCTTAAGTGGTAGAGCACTAGCCTTGAGCTGAAGAGCTGAGGGACAGCGCCCAGACCCAGAGTTCAGGCCCCATGACTGGAAAAAAAAAAAAAAAAAGAGTTTCATGGACTTTCCTTCCTGAGCTGGCTTCAAACTATAATCCTCATATCTCAGTCACCTGAGTAGCTAGGATTACAGGCATGGTCCACCAGCACCTAGCCTATTAATACTTTAAATTTGGAGGGAAGAACCTGTGGGAGATGCCTGAGGATTTCTGTTTTGCTTCTTTCTTCACCCTTTCCCCACTTTTAGAGTGGACTAGAAAGAACATATGTCTAACAGAACTAAAGCACAATCCTAGATATGTCAAATTAGCTGGGTGATCCCAAGACAACAATTTAATTTCTCCAAGTCTTATTTCTTAATTGCAATTACAAATTATCATATCTCCCTATGGGATTCCTGTAAGGCTATCATGAGACAATGTATATAAAATGTTATTTCCCTTCTCTTCCTCACTTGGTTCCTCCCAGCCTCCTACCACCAGGGGTTGTAACTAAAGAGCAAATGAAGTGATCAAATGACGAAAGGGGAAGAAAAAAGAAAAACTAAGTGCACATTAGTTGGTTTAGAACACTCTAGAACATCCATGTTCCTAATAAATCCTCCTTGAGGCTAGTGAAAGAATAAACATTGAAGCTAAGCTATTTGCATTTTATTCCTAAATCTCCTTTTGCTTATGGGGGTATTTCTCATATTGCCCTCTTAGCCTAAAAGCACACATAAAATCTTGGAGCAGGAGGAAGTTGCCAGAAGCAGATCTCTACTTGTTGTTTATTCCTTTTCTACCCTCAGGAAGGAGATGATCCCTGTGAATGAGCACTTTTTCCAGGAGAGCTGGCCTTGAATGACCTTTCCTATAGAAGTAGTACAGCAGTACAGAGAGTAATTCCTTCTCAAACAGACATTCAGAAATGTTATCATGGGGCTCCTTAGGAGCTCAGGGGCAAAAAAGTGCTTTGGGAAAGTTTTGTTTGGAATCAAGTAGCCCAATGAGTCCTGAGAGTGCTAACTAGAGCTGGACAGTTCTAAGTGGTTAATGGGTCTGGGAGTCCAGTGGGTTTCTGATATGAGAAATTGCTCATTAATGAAAGAAACATGAAAGCCACAAACTATCCAAGTCTGGATGCCTGTTTAACAGCTTTGGTATTCACGTAAAATTTCCTTTATGACTAACTTGTTGTTCCTTCCCTTTTCCTCCCTGACTTTACCCTCCTGCCTCTTCCTTTACCCTCCTGCCTCTTCCTTTAACCCCCCTTTTCTTTTCCATTTCCACATGCCTCTCTGCTGGTCCACAGCCAGTCCCAGCCCTGCAGCCCTCTCCGCAGCCTGTTCAGTTCTCTCCAAGCTCCTGTCCCCAAGTCCTTCTGCCAGTCTCTCCACCCCAGCAGTACAACATGGTATAAACTCCATTCCCCATTTCTGTCTTGTCCATGTGTGGCTTGTATCTTTGGGTATGGCTGGTCTGTCCATGGTGGCCTTGCAAGCATGTTGTACTTTTAAAGGGCATGTGTAAAGCTGTTTTTGAGAGGCCAGCATAGATAGGCTGAACTAAACTCCATCCCGATCGTCTTACCACAGCACACCAAAAGATAACAAATGTAAGACAGAGGGATACTGAGTTACCCTATGTTTCAGGAGAGGGAACAAAATTAGATGTTGGGGCTGGAGGCATGGCTCAAATGGTGGAGCACACACCTGACAAGCACGAAATTGTGAGTTCAAACCCTAGTAGAATAGAAAAAAAGAAGGACAAAATTGAATATTGGTCTAATGTAGGTCTCTTGTTTCTGTACCATATATATTCTTCATCTAATTTGCTCCCTAACATGTCTGGGCTAACCAGATTATCCTGAATAGAAAGGTTCTCTACAATTTTCTTTCATTGTGGACTTCTTTGGTACTAGTTGAAAAAACTTGAAATCTTACCCATCTTTCTTATTTTACCATATCATTTTGTATATTCTTCCACTGCATAATTCATGCTATTTAAATTGTTTGTACCCTGCCAGACATCAGTGGCTCACACCTGTAATCCTAGCTACACAAGAGGCTGAGCAATCTAAGGATCGTGGTTTGGAACCACTTTTATTTCTAGTGAAAAGCTAGAAGTAGAGCTGTGGCTCAAGTGGTAGAGCACCACTCTTCAGTGAAAAGCTAAGGGAAAGGGAAGCACCCAGAGCCTTGAGTTCAAGCTCTACTACTGTCGCACACACACACACAAAATAGTTTGTACCCTGACTAAAAATTCTTTCAAAATAGAGTTGCCTCAGGTGCCTCAGAGTTTATCATTTCTATTGTAGTTGTAGCAACCCTTGTTTTAAATACAAAGAATCTTTTTAGGAGGCAGTACTGAGGTTTGAACTCAGGGCCTCAGTTTTGCTCAAATTGGTGTTCTACTACGTAAGCCATGCATCTACTCCTACTTTTTGCTGGTTATTTTGAAGATAAAGTCTCAAGAATTTTTCTACATGGACTGGATTCAAACCATCATCTGATCTCTTATCTGTAGCCAAACCATTTCTGATATCAGCCTTTGTTAGCTAGGATATAGGTTTGAACTCTTGGCACCTGGCTGAGCCCTCAATTTTACTTTATGTTAATCACATCCCTGCTTTTTCACTAGGATCCTCTCTTTCCTCCTACCTCTTAATTATATTCTGAAAAGTCTTGAAATATGGACTTCTAAATAATCTGCAGTCCCAGGCTTCTTAGTATCTATTCCTAGGTAGCAAAATAGATCTTTGAAAATGAGCAAAACTGCAGGATAACAGTGTCTTTTGGTTTCTACTAGTTTCTTTTGCAGAAGAACTTGTGCTGTAGAGTGCATGCATTCATGTGTGTCTGTGTGTATGTGAATTATTGTCAAGAGAAACTAACCTATCACTGTATAAATCAGAGATAGAACACCATCACCCTTGCTGCTTAGGAAAGAAGGCTGAGAAAAACGGTAATTACAGCCCAGCCAGTCAGTCTCTTCCTCCAGCTCAGCCACTCACTCTGGCCTCCTTTCTGAGGTGAGAATTGAAAGTGGTTTCTGAAGGGCAGGAGAACTCTAGGCTAGTGTCAAAGAACAAAGGTGGAAATGACCTTGAAAGGGAGGGAGTAAGGAGATAAGCAGCAGGAATGGAGCCTACCAGTCCTTTGCTGTGGAGGCACATGAACCTAGCCATCCATAATCTATCAAGGTCTTATTCTAGGCCCTTCATTATAAAAACAGGATTTATAGCAATGTAGGAGCCCTTTCATGGTTAGAAACATGAGAAAGGCAGGAAATGGGAAGATTATTAATAATTTTTCTTTAACCTAGTAGATCCTTTTTTTTCTGTAGACAAAGTTGTGTCATTTGCTCCCATCTTCCTAGAACTAATCCTGGTAACAGTCATGATCAGGGTAGTTTTATTTGTTTTTTGGGGGGTCCGGTCGTGGGGCCTGAACTCTGGGCCTGGGCGCTGTCCCTCAGCTCTTCAGCTCAAGGCTAGTGCTCTACCACTTGCGCCACAGTGCCACTTCCGGCTTTTTTCAGTTTGCTTATGTGGTACTGAGGAATCAAACCCAGGGCCTCAGGCATGCAAGGCAAGCGCTCTACCACTAAGCCATGTTCCCAGTCCCCGATCAGGGTAGTTTTTGTTATTTCATATATAATAAAGAGATTGCTCTGGAGTTAGGCTTAAACAACTGTTGAGTTCATAAGAATTCAAAATATGACAGAGGTTTAGGGCTCAAAAGTACTTTTTAGGGCACAGAAGCAAGATTGTCTCAAAATGTTATAAGGAAGGATACAACAAGAATTGCTATTTCTGTCTGTTTATGTTGAAGCCAAAGATATAAGGCTCTATACAGCTTTGGTCCTTGAGTTCCCCATTCTTTCAACAGGCAGATGACCTCAGCAACCCATTTGGACAAATGAGTCTTAGCCGCCAAGGTTCTACTGAAGCAGCTGACCCATCCTCAGCTCTGTTCCAGCCCCCACTTATCTCCCAGCACCCTCAGCAGACTAGCTTCATCATGGCTTCAACGGGACAGCCGCTCTCCACTTCCAACTATTCCACCTCTAGCCATGCACCACCTACTCAGCAAGTCCTGCCACCCCAGGGCTACATGCAGCCCCCTCAGCAGGTGAGAAGCTCCTGTCCCCGGCTCTAGTCACTAATACAGATTGTCCAGTATTATCATCTTCCTTTCTTTCTTTAATTTAGACAGACTAGAGGGGATATTGTCCCCCCCTCCAGAAATTCTTCTTTTTATAAAACACAAGACCTGTTTTATTTCAAACTTGCATAGTAATTCTATAATTGCAAGCCCCAAGTATCTCCATTTGCAGATTTCTGGCCATCACCCCTGAGTTCTTTAGTAATTTGCAGGTGTTGGGACTAATTAGAGGGACCTCTTACACCTTTTTTCTCTCACCATAGATCCAAGTTTCTTACTTTCCCCCTGGACAGTATCCTAACTCAAACCAGCAATATCGACCTCTATCTCACCCGGTGGCCTACAGCCCCCAGCGTGGTCAGCAGCTGCCTCAACCATCCCAGCAGCCTGGTAAGTGGGGGCACTGATCTGACAGTAATACATAGAGAAAGAAAAAGAGCAGAGGCTAAAAAAGAGAAAGTTTACTTTCCCCATTCAAAAAAATAAATGTCAGGCATGATGAGGGTTCTAAGAAAGAGCCCAGGATCTCTAGAAGAATGGAGAAAGGAAATTACTGCTAGAGTGTGGACTTCCAAACATACACACTAATGTCTTCTCTGCCTTGCCCTATCTTTAGGTTTACAGGCCATGATGCCTAACCAGCAACAAGCGGCTTACCCAGGCATGATTGGGGTCCAGCAGCCCCAGAACCAGGGCCTGCTCAGCAACCAGAGGAGCAGCATGGGAGGCCAGATGCAAGGCCTGGTTGTTCAGTACACTCCACTGCCTTCTTATCAAGTGAGTGTATTCTACATTGGAAAAGATCACCCAGTCCCTGGGACAAGGAGGACAGCCTCCCAGGGTCATCCATACTGACAGCTCCAATACTAAAATAGTTTGTACTTTCCCTTAGAATTTTTAGGGTTTTTTCCCCTCTGAAAGTTCAGAATAAATAGTTCTTAAATTGTTTTAATATACAGTCATGTGAATGAGTGTATGCCCAAAAGAGTAGAATCTAAAGGAAATCATACTCCTTCACTGTTAAATGCCCAAGGATGGTGTTTAGAGAAAGGGGAACTGGAGATAGCTCTGTGAACATTTTCTCTGGACAGAAGATACAGAGAAGGAAGTTATAGTACTCTAGTCCAGTGATAACTCAGCTATTTTCTGGAAGAGCTCAGTGAAAGTAAAAGTAGTCATTCTCTTCTCTATCTAGGTCCCGGTAGGCAATGACTCGCAAAATGTGGTTCAGCCGCCTTTTCAGCAACCCATGCTGGTCCCTGCAAGCCAGTCTGTACAAGGAAGCCTCCCTGGGGGAGGTGTACCAGTATACTACAGCATGATCCCACCAGCTCAGCAGAATGGTACGAGGTGAGGACTGCAGGAGAGCCGGGCACATCTCCCATAGACCTTCAGCAACTGTGGTACCATTCTTTTGCTTCCACTAGCCTAAGAAACACAAGGGTAAAGATCCCAGTAGTAGCTGGCTCTGGTGGTACATACCTATAATCCCAGTACTTGGGAAGTGGAGGCAGGAAAATCACAAATTTTAAGGCCAGTCTGGCCTACATGAGACACACTGTCTTTAAAAAAAAAAAAAAACAGCCAGGCACCAATGGCTCCTAGCTACTCAAGAGGCTGAGATCTGAGGATCAAGGTTCAAAGCCAGCCTGGGCAGGAAAGTCCATGAGACTTATCTCCAATTAACCACCAGAAAACTGGAAGTAGTTCTTCAGCTCAAGGCTGAAGAACTGAGGGACAGTGCACAGGCCCAGAGTTCAAGCCCCATGACTGACAAAAAAAAAAGATAGGAAGGAAGGTTCATTCTCCTTATTGATTTGACATTTGCATAGACCTAAGCAACCAGGGGAAAAAATACCATTTCAGGGTCAGGCTTTATGAGATTCAGTTTTGCTTTTCAAATCATTGATTCTCAAAATTATGGGATAAAGACTGCTCATCATGAAAAGAAACAATTTTGAAATATGTAAATTTTTCTGTATACATTTCTGTCTATGGATGAAATTCCAATGAAGTGTCTACATAAGTATGTATGTATGTAGACATGTAGATAATATTTACCTATATATGTGTATAAATAGATAGGAACATAGCTAATAGGACCAAAATCAGTACCAAGCACTACACTTGTTTTTCCTCCTTTGTTTTTTGTTTGATTTTGATTTTAATTTTTGTCGTTGACACTTCTGGGGTTTGATTGAGAGCCTTGCACTTGCTAGGCAAGTGCTTTATGATATAAGTCGTGCCCCAGGCCCTGTTTTTGCCTATTTTGAGACAGTATCTTGCTCTGTAGCCCTGGCTATTCTCGAACTCCTCCTGTCTCAATTTCCTTAGTACTGAAATTACAAATGTGTGTGCACCACCACAACCAGTTTCTGACTGGTTCCAGCTGGGAAAACCACAGAGTGGATTAGACAGAGATGGAACAAGAATTAGTTTAGGTCTTTGTGTGTTCTGTGTGTCCATTTCCTAATATGTATGTGTTTATCTCTATCTTTGTATATCAGTGTCTCCATGTTGTTTGGAATTTTGGGTAATTTTTTCCTATTTGTCTTTAGTAAAAATTTGTCACTGTTTACTATTGTGCATAGATCCTAAATCACACTTCTCCTTAATTCTTTATTTCTTTCTTTCTAGAATTCTCTGTCTGTGTCTGGTACTTTTAACTTGGTTTTCTGTTGTGTTTGGGAGTCTTTTTGTGTGTGTGTGTGTGTGTGTGTGTGTGTGTGTGTGTGTGT